CTTTCCCAGAAGCTTTTGGTCCCGAGGTGCTCTGGGCCTGGTCGGATGGGTCTGTGTGTTGGGAGGAACCGTCCCACCGAGGTGGTGCTGAGGAACCAGTTTTGGGGGCGCCAGAGTCCACGGGTACCCGAGGCCCGGTATAAAACGACCTCTCCTTTGCAGATGACCCCACCATATCCCCTGAGCACTTCACAGCATTGCTAGATTACTTAGAACAGGAGGGGAAGGGGAAGTGGAAAGAATCAAGACGCAGTCCGACATGCACCAGCTCCCTGAGAGGAATGTCACCATTATGTGCTGTGGACGTGGACTAATGCACATGAAGATTTTAAAATAAAATAAAATGTAATTCTGAGATTGGAAAAAAAGAGAACATAGACACTCAGGACCAGAAGAAAGGATGCAAAGTTGGATGTGAAACCCTAGGCCATGCTTCTGACTCTGCTCAAATCTGTATTCTTAAGAAGATGGGTTGATTTTTCCCTTACTAAGAGGCAGAGGTATGTTCATTTCCCTCTATGAATACGGAGGTCCATTTCTCCCTATAGAGCCTATTTATTCTATTTTTGTTTTTATTAGGGCATGTTTGCAGTTCGTACTGATTAATTACATTCCTCTAGGGGTTGGTGCATGCACGTAACACATCTTAATTCTTTTGGGGGGTAACTGGGGATCGAACTCAGGACCTTGCGCTTGCGAGGAGGCGCAGCGCCACTGACTACATCCCGGTCCTCTTAATTCTTTTTATGTCCCCTTCTCCTTCCCTCTTCCCTCCATGTCTTTGTTCCCTTCCCTTTGGAAAAAGATCTATCTCCTTGTTTCCTATTATCTACCACATTCTATTTTTACTTGGTGTGTTTGAGGCTATATTACTGAACTAATAAAAATTTAGAACTCTTAAAAAAAAGTACCATCAACCACTTAGCTAATCTCTTGTGGATACCTTGTTGTTGTTGTTGTTGTTATTGTTGTTTGTTTGTTTGTTTGGGGGTGGTATTTGTGGATTTTTTTCTTTTCTTTTTTCCGACAGAGTCTCACTATGTAGCCCAGGCTGGCCTTGAACTCACTAGGACCCTCCTGCCTCAGCCTCCGGAGAGTGTGTCATGATGCCTGGCTTGTTTTTGTTTCTGTTTTGCACAAAGAAGCGGCGCAGCAGCTGCTCCTGTGGCTGGTCTGCAAATCCTCCATGACTGTTTCTTTAAATTGCAGCCCTGGGAGTGGAGTGAAGGGACAAAGGGCAACGGGAAAGCTTTTCTTGGGGACTGAGCTGGGCCTTAGGGCTGAGAGCGTTCAGGGGAGGGAAGAGGGCATTCAGGTGGCGGGAACACCATGGGCAAGAGTGCCCGGGTAGGAAGAGGTGAGAATTCCCTAAAGCTGTTGGGGGAATAACCGGAAACGCCCCACTGTTGGTCTCAAACCCCAGGGTAGCAGAGCTGGGCAGAGCCTGGTGTTCTTCTGGGCCCTCTCCCCTCCTGCTGCCTCCACCTCACCCGCCCTGGGCGCCCTTCACTCTGGGGTCCGAACCCATCTGCTCCCCAGGCCACACCACGCCCGCCTCGGACCCTACCCCAGGCTCCGCCCACCCCCTCCCTCCCGCCTGGTCCCCGGGCCGACGTCAGCAGGTCCTTCAGCGTCAAGACAGACGGCCGGTCACCCTCGCCCCTTCCTTGGGGTGGACCTCAGCCCATCGCACCAAGAAGGAGCCCCATGAGCACTGACAGCAAAGCCTTGGAGTACAGACGGCATCTTCGTGAAGGCTGGGCCCCAGTGTCCGGGCCCCACGTCCCTGGCTCCTGGACTGCCCAGAGCCCGGTGCCTGGTGCTGCCTCCTCTTCTCGTCTGTCTATACCGTCTTCCGGGCATGGATCCGGACAGGCCAGGCCAAGGGAAACACACACACATTCTCATCCTGTCTGGTGACTTCCAAGAGGGTGGCTGGGCACCTCCCGGCCTGTCCCTCAGGGCCCTGCTCTCAGGAGGGCAGGGTCGGGTGCTCTGCTGGGACCCGGCCTGCTCCTGCGTCCAGGGGGACTGCAGAGCCCAGCGCCACCGCCAGCGGGACACTGTGTCTGGGAATTAATTCAGACGTCACATTCCACTCCTTGGCGCGGCCAGCTGTTTCAATATAAAGATATTTAACTGTTATTACCGTGTGTTGTTGTTCTTTGCCATCGAGTAGATGGATCGCATCTCCAGGGCCATCCTGGGACCCCCCATGCCCACCCAGTCCACCTCAGAGGGTCAGCGCTGGTCTCAGGAGCCTGGCATCGCCACTGCATCACACGTACAACTCCAGAGGCCGTGTTCCTCCCGTGCTCAGTAGCTTCGGAACCCCTGGAGCCCTACGACCAGTGAGCCTGGGAGATGCACAGGCCAGGGAGCCGGGGTCTGGATTCTGCCAAGGTGGCCTTGAGCTGCTGGTGCCCTTCTGGGCCTGAGTCCCCTTGTGTGACAGTGGGAAGTGACGGGCAGGCTGCACGGGGCTGACAGTGCCTTCCAGGCCACCTGTGACGTCCACGGTGGGAACTTCAGCCCAGGGGCACCATGGGAAAGGGAAGGGGTGACCTGCATGCCCTCAAGCCTCAGCAGGTGGTGGTGGCCCCTGCACATGCTGCACAGCCCCTCGCACCCTCCCCTGGGTGTTGAGCACAGCCCCTGCTCAGCAGAGAACTCTGTTCCCACACCAGGGAGGTCGCACTGCTGAGCAAGCTCGTGCCGGGCTGAGAGCCTGCCAGGGGCACCGTCTCGCCCGGGAGCTGCGGGCTCTGCATGTGAAGGCTGCCCTGCCACAGCCTGGGGGCCAGGGGCATCCGGGCAGTGCCCAGCCCGGCCACTTGACTCTGCAGCCTGCACACTGGCTTCCTGTGCCCACCCCTGTGCCCTCTCTCTGCAGCCGGGGTGCCAGGCCCTCCCTCCCCTTCTTCGCTGCTGCAGCGTGGCTGAAATCCTAACACTGGCTTGGTTTGGTTTGGTTTGGTTTGGTTTTATAAGACCAGGTCTCACCACATAGTTCAGGCTGGCCTTGAACTTATGGCGCTTCTCCTGCCTCAGCCTCCTGAGTGGTGGTATGGCAGTCATGTGCCACCACACCCAGCTGGCTTGGTTTTGTTTGGGAAACAAGGAGCATGCAAAGCAGCTCTGATCCCTGTGTGTGCACACGCATGAGTGTGTGTGTGTGTGCAAGAGGCATGGATCTGAGTGCTCCCAGCCCCCAGCAGCTACCCTGGCTCTCTCTCCTGGCCCTGGAAGTGGCTCCTGTTGAGTCCCCGGCCCTCTCTGGATGGCACTGTCCCCTTGGGCAGGAGGAGGGGCAGGCAGGCATTACCCAAGGCCTCGCTGGCTCAGATGTCCTGGCCCCTGCAGTCTGTCCTGTCCCTCCCTGTCTTCAGAGACAGCCCTGCGGGACACCGGGACACCTAGCTGTGTGAATCTGCAGCAGCCTGCATACCTGACAGGCTGCGTGGGGAGCTGGGCTGGAAAGGAAGGGCCTCTGCTGGGGAGTGCGGGCAGGGGCCTGTTTGGCCAAACCAGAGTGGGGGGCAGGCTCTGCCATCCTGGATGACACCAGGCTGGCCCCCATGCTGGACAACACAGCTAGAGGAAACATCACAGGATCACAATGGGCAGAAGGGTAAACTGAGGCTCAAAAAACACAGCCTCAACTTAGAACCTGCTCCCAACTCTGACAGCCTGGTGGAGTCGCTACGGGGTCCAATGCTCCGAACCCGGCTCTGAGCCCAGGGTGACACCAAAGTCTGCGAGAAGCCGTCCAGAGCATCTTTTGAAAATACCCTGCCCGGAAGGATATGCCTGCTGTTTATAGCACAGACTCTCTGTGACTCAGTTGCCCCATCTGTAAGGCAGGACAAGGGTGCCTCCCTGGCAGAAGGCTGTGTGCTTCAGAAACAATGAGCGGCAACCCTGGGCCCAACTCAGGCCCTGCAGGGGTTTCATTCTTGGCCACCGCCAGGAGCCAGGCGCAGAAGGGGAAACCAGTGGCAGGAACAGCCAAGGGGGCTTCCTGGAAGAGGAGGTGGCATTTGAGTGGACCTTGCTTGATGGGCACGACTCCAAACAGGGACCCCAAGACACACAGCCTTTGTTGCAGGCTGGGCCCTGCGTGCTGTTTTGCCTGGGTGGCCTCGGAATCCCCAGCAGCCGCCAGGAAGGGGCTGTCGAGCAGAGGGTCAGGCCCAGGCCGAGCCACACAGGTAGGACGGCAGTGGCCCCAGGCCAAGCTCACTCATACCTGCCAGGTCCTCTCTGCCATAGAAGGAGACTCGAGGGGCGCGGGCATCAGGAAGTGGCTGACAACTTTGTGGGCCACCGTGCAGCCCACCACAGTGACAACCCTGGGGACCCAGGGGTGGGATAGTCCCTGGCTTGTCCGGGTGGGCCTGATGTCCCCATGAGGGGCCTTGTAAGCCGGGCACGGTGACACACGCCTGCAGTCCCAGCACTGAGGCTGAGGCAGGAGGAGCACAGTGAGTTCAAGGCCAGCTTAGGCCACATAATGAGACCCTGTCTGCAAAATAAAAACAAAGACCAAACCAAAACAAAAGGAGGCTTTGCCAGAGGAGACAGAAGGTCAAAGTTGGAAGGAGATGGGTCAGCAGGATGCCCTGGGCTGATGAGGAAGGAGCCCCAGAAGCAGGCACCCGGAGGAGAAGAGGAAGCAGGTGCTGCCTGGTGCTGCTGACACCTCCATCGGTCCCATCTGGCCCACTTGGGTTTCCGGCCTGGAGACTAAGTCTGTGCTGCATTAAACCACCCCGTTCGGGGCAATGAGGTCCTGCAGCCCACAGTGGCACCAGCCCAGCTTCCCTGGACCTGGTTCCTCACAGCCCTCAGTGGCTGCCTGTGTGCTGGCATCGCCACCTGGTCCCCGGCTCCTCCACAGCTATGAGAAGCTTCCCTGAGCCCTTCCCCGGACCCCCTGCAGTGCCTTGCTTGGAGCCAGAGGGCACTGGGAAATACCTGCCACAGGTAAACAAGTCTGTCTTTATTTTTATTTACAGCCATCGAGAGGGGTGGGCTTCTGACAGTAGTGACTGGCCCTGTCCTCCTGGGAATTTCAGCACCCTGGGTTCCTTCCGCAGAGGCCCTGCGCCATCAGGGGACACTGTCAGCTCGGAAAGAGCCGGCTGGGCTCCCAGGCTCTGCAGCCAGAGCAGTGATGTCCGAGGGCAGGGGTGCCCAGGCCGGCGGGCGCAGGGTGCAGGGCGCAGGGTGCAGGGCGCAGGCCCCGGCTCACTTGAGGCTGTGCTGGCTCTCGCGGTGCCGCCGCAGGTCCACCTTGCGCTGGAAGCCCTTGGCGCAGAGGTCGCAGGTGAAGGGCTTAAAGCCCGTGTGCTTGCGGCTGTGCGTGATGAGGTTGGAGCTCTGGCTGAAGGCCTTGCCGCACACCCGGCACTTGTGGGGCTTCTCACCTGCGGGGCAGAGGGGGCCGGTCAGGATGGCCTGGGACACGCCCCTCAGAAGCGGCCAGGAGGGCGGGAGGCCCCGTGGCCAGCGGGCAGGGCGGGCCAGGCCGCTGAGCCCACTGAGCCACAGCAGCAGGCGCCCACGCCCACGGAGGGCGGAGGGCAGTGACGCTCACCCGTGTGGATGTACGTGTGCTTCTTCATGTCCGACTTCTGGTGGAAGCGCTTGCCGCAGTACTGGCAGGGGTAGGGCCTCGTGTCCGAGTGGATGAGCAGGTGCGTGGACAGCGTGGACGAGCGCTTGAAGGCTTTGCCGCACATCTGGCACTCGAAGCTGCGCTCCTGCCGGAGGAAACGAGCCCCCGGGGGGTCAGGAGTAGGTGGGGCCTCGCGACCCAGGAGAGCCACGCTGGGCACCGGGCTGGACCCGGTCGGGATCCCCTGAGGAAGAGGACACTGCGTTGGGGCGGCCTCGAGGGCAGGGCCCGGAGGAGCAGGACCAGGGACCACCCCCAGTTCCTGCCGGCGGGTGGGGCTGAGGCTCAGGCTCTGATTGGCCTCTTGGGGAAGTGTTCACAGTTCTACTCCACATAAACCTCAGCCACCGTTTGTTGACTGACTGACTGATGGACTGACTGATGAGAGATTTCTCTGGAGCTCATGTTTCGTCACCATTAACTCAGGGTGAGTCCCTTGCGACAGGGCAGTCTGCTCTTCCCACCAGTCTTTCCCGGTGGCCCAGATGTCAGGGACCCATGTCCCTTCAGGTGCCCTTCTTGGAATGGGTACCACGTTAGGACCCCACCACGTAGGCCTGAGTGGGGTGAAGTAACATCTGCAGCCCAACTTGAAGGAATTGAGGTTCTCAAAACTGAGGACACCTGCCCGGGCCACCCAGGGGACGGGGTGTCAGTGCTGTGGACACACCGCTGCCCCCTACGTCCCACACGTGAAGCCGGCTCCGCCTGTCAGAGACCCCAGAGGGCTCTGGGCGGATGTCAGGGACCCAGACCCGGGGAGGCAGGAGTGAGGGTCCCCCGGCCTGGGTCACTTCCGGCAGCGCTCACCTGGGAGTGGACGTGCGCGTGCTGCTCCAGGCTCACGGCATGGCCGAAGGTTTTGCCACAGACGTCACAGGCGAAGGGCCGCGTGCCACTGTGGGAGCGGCGGACGTGCACCTCCAGCCCGTGTGGCGTGGAGAAGACCTGCAGGGGCAGCGTGTGAGCCAGGGAAGGCTCCGGAAAGGGAGGCCTCTCTGCTGCGAGTCCCGGGATCCCTCCCCGTGGCTCGGCTTCCTGTCCAAAGTGGGGGTCAGAAGAGGGACCTGGACACCCCCCCACACCCCTTCTGCAGGCTGAGTAGAGCCCAGAGCTGGCCAGGGCCAGGTTCGAATGCTGGTTCTGCTGTCTCCTTGCTGTGTGGTCTCATTTGGGGCACTCAACCAGCTGGACCTTAGCTCTTCCTCTCCTCCTGGAGCTCACGAACGACCACCCGGTGCTTAGCACAGGGCCAGGCACACGGTCCGGGCTCAGTGGCTGGCAAGGAGGGCGAAGGCTTTGAATCGTCACCCTGCCGGGTTCGAGGCCGACAGCACAGGGCACAGGTGCTGTGACGCCTGCAGGCAGCACCCCGGGGCTGCCGTGGGTCCACGCTCACCTTGCTGCACTGGAGGCAGTGGTAGGTGTCCACACCCGGCGAGTAGCGCAGGCTGAAGTCCAGGGGCGGCTCGGCGCTGGGCAGCAGGGGGCTGCCGTACAGCCTCACGGCTCGCTCCAGGAAGGCAGACTCGATGACGGACGGTGGCTGTGGGTAGCCATGGCCATAGGGCGAGGCCAGCGCTTCCCAGGAGAAGGTGGGCTTGCAGAAAGGGGGTGAGTCGCTGTCCTGCGGCCGGGACACCACCGCGGGCCCCTCTACGGAGACAAGGGCTCAGGCTCGGCGACTCAGCTGCACACAGGTTCCCTCCCCTCCTGCACCACTGCCAGCCCTCCTGCCATGTGACCTTGAGTGAGGGCTTCAGTGCGTGGCCCAGACACCCACGGCTAGGGCTGTCCTTCTGGTGGCTCCACAGTTTTCCAGCCCGGAAGTGCCATCCTCACACACACACACACACACACACCCCGCTGCCCACCACATTCCCTGGGAATGAACGTCCCAATCCCAGAGCATCACATACGAGCCGGGGACCCAGGTGGCATCTGGTGACCTTGTCAGTCCCTCCCGACCCCAAGGGACCCCACTTCCGGCCTCTGTTCTTCTCTCTCCCTGGGCGGTGGCCCGGGCATGGGCAGGTCCTGAGCTGGGGACCCACCTGGCACCACAGCTGTCCTGGGCAAGCTCTGGTTCGGGCCTAGCTCTGTCTCCCGCTTCACATTGTTCCAGTCAGAGTATGGGGTTGGAAGCAGCGTGCAGGGGGGAGGGCTGCTGCTCAGACCCTGGCTCCGGGCCCCTGCGGGGAGACGAGACCCTAGGGTCACCTGCTACGGCATCTGAAAGACCTCAGGGAGCCAGGGCCCGAGGGAGGCTGGACCGCTGCTGCTTCCGGCTGCTCACAGGAGGGGCCCTGCCCAGCGAGGTGTGATGTGGGAGGACCCCAAGGAGCACCTTGGACCCAGCCCTGGGTTGGGCCTCCAGTCAGGACCCAGACATCCGTAATGGCGCTGGCTCCAAGCCCTGAGTGCCCGCACCCAACAGAGAAGACAAATGCATCATTCATTCAGCCGCCATTGATGAGCTCTGCTTCCAGACTTGGAAGAGAAGCGCTGTGGGAGGCTGGGGCAGGGAGGTACAGCAGGAGGCTGGCCCGGGCCCCCACTCACCAGGGCTCAGGGCAGGAGACCAGACCAGGCCATCCTCCTTGGTGCGGGGCTGGTGGTAGGTGTGAGCCTTCTTGCTCTTCACCAGGAAGGAGCGTGGCATCTTCCGCGTGTGTCCGCCTGCAGGGGGACAGGTGGGGACGGCTGAGAGGGACCAGAGGCTGGGTGCAGTGGTGCACGTCTGTCACCCAGCTTTTAGGGAGCCTGAGGCAGGGAGTTGGCAGCTTAGAGACTTAGTGAGGCCCTGTCTCAAAATAAAGAATTTAAAAAGGGCTGGGGATGGAGCTGCCTGGTACAGCATCCCTGGGTTCCATTCCCAGCACAACAAAAACAAAACAAAGAGACAAGAGGACAGTGTCTCTCTGAACCTGAAACCCTCCTCCTGCCAGCAGCAGCCCACTGGCCTGGTTAATGGCGTCTCCCAGAAGTCCTTGTCCTCCTGGGACCTGCGAAGGCCACAGTATGGGAAACAGAGTCTTGGTGGAACCATGTTAGGATGAGGTCACCCTGGCTCGGGCGGGCTTTGAGCCCAGACTGACCAGTGGCCTTGGAAGAAGACAGAAATCTGGACCCCAGACACACACACTGGGAGGAGACCAGGTGGCTTTCAAAATCCGAGGACCACAGGGCCCGGGCAGCCCCCAGGAGCTGGGCGAGACCTTCCAGGAGGAGCCCACCACGGTGAGGAGATGGCTCTCTGGGGCTCTTGAGCCACTCCCCTTGTGGTGCTGCACACCCATTACGGCAGCTTCAGAGCCTCCCGCTCTGGGTGGAAAGGGAAGCCAGCCACAGCACCAGTGAGAAGGAAGGACCCTGGGTGGTTCAGAACCCTGCCCCCCAGACAGAGCAGCTTCTGGGGTCCCCAGCCCCCAAGCTGTGCAGGCAAAGCTCAGAAGAGCCTCGCCCACCCCGTCAGTGCCCACAGGGCACAGGGCCGATAGGGTCCCCGCCAAGGCGGGAAAGGGATTTCTGCGGCTCCTGAGCAGCAGTAAGGGCCTGCGTGATAAGGCCCAGGCCCAGAGCAGGGCTGGGAGGTGGGAGATTAGAGCCAGCAGCCTGAGTTCTGCCTGTGGGGTCTGGGCCCAAAGCAGCCCTGCCCTTGGGGAGGGCCCACAGCCAGGCAGAAGGGGGCCCAGGACTGCCACGCTGTCGCTGAGCTGTGGTGCCCGATCTGCTGCATGGGATCCTGTGAAATCTCAGAGATCGCAGGGCCTCTGGGTGTGATGGAGAAGCGGGCTTGGGGCTTGGTGTGGCGTCTGGGTGCCACAGTGGTGGCGTCTCTGCGCCCCCCGCCCCCGGAGAGGTCCTGCAGGGGCCAGGAGGAAGTTGCATACTGTCACATCTGGCGCCCAGCAGGCACCTTTGAAGGACAAACCAGCCCTGGACCAGGGCCACCAAGTCCCCAGGGAGCGAGCTGTGAGTTCAAGGCTCTCCACGCTCTGAGCTCTAAAAGGAATGGGGGCCTGGGCCTCTGGAGTCCCTTCCTCTGTCAGACGCAGGCACCCCAAGGCCTTATCTTCCAGGGACCATCCTTCCTCCCTGCCCTACCCCCACGGCTCTCCACAGCCCCTTCCCCCTCCCAAGCCTCCCTTTAGGAAAGGCCCAGGGAGGCCCGGCCCCGGGGGACGAGTGGGGCTGGTCACCCCCTCTGTTCTGTGGGGCCCCCAAAAGCCTGGGTCTGTCGAGGTGATACTTTTCCACATGTACCGATTATTAGGAAGTCAGCTGGAGCTCAGGCTCTCCATAAAGTCTCCAAGATGGAGCCTGAGTGCAGGCAGCCAGGGTCCGCTCAGCCCGTGGGGCACCTTTCACAGAGCCCTGCTCTGTCCCTCTCCGAAAGAGGGGCGCCCACATCCCAGGGCAGCATGGAGCAGGCAGGACTCTGTTTGGCCCCACACCCTTGATCATCAGGCAGTGGGTGGCTGTTCGCCCAGCGTCGCCTGTCCCAGTGTGGGCCATGCCCCTCGTGTGTCCCAGCCGAGGGGACAGGAGAGTGGCAGCGTCCACAGCTCCCTGGGGTGCAGCGCGGGGCCGGGGGGACAAGTGGAAAATCGAGGCTGAGAGAGGCCTCGTTCAAGGTCACGGCAGGAGCCAGGTGCAGGGCTCCCGTCTTGCTAGGATTTGAGGATTCGAGTCCTGGTCCAGGGCTGCACAACAGCAGGGGTGGGAAGGGCCTGCGACAGGGGGAGAAGCGGGGTGATGGGGAAGAAGCCAAACACCAACTTCCTCTGCTCCCCAAGTCCTTTCCAGGTCCCCAAGGCCCCAGTTGGGATCCTAAAGGGTCACAGGGGGAGGCAGGTGAGGAAGAGACTTCCCCACAGCAAGCTTTACCCACGGGCTCTGACCATGGTTCGCACACAGGACAGCTCTCCGGCACTCACTTCTCACTTAGACGGGGAGCAAGGGGTCCGGGTGTCTGGGGTCCCCCACGAGCAGAAGGCAACGCAGCCTCCTCCGGTGACCTCCCTGAGCTCCCATCCTCCTCTTCCCTTCCGAGGCTCTTTATTCTCAGCCCAGCAAAGGGGCAGCGACACAGCCAACCCCATGGCCAAGCCCCCAAGCCCACAGTGGAAGCCAAATGTACTCAGCGAACTTCCTTTTGGCCCCTGTTAGCCGAGTTAAAAAAAAAAAAAACGGGAACTAATCATCTACGGTGTAGTTAATTAACAACCACTTGGTTTTGATTCACACGGACGGTTCTGAGGAAGAGCTAAGAGCAGAGATTGTGAAAGAAGCTCCGGATTTCTTCATAAGGCAGAGGCGCTGATGCTATCGGGGCTCCGGAAGAAGGCCCCGTTAACATCTCTTCGTAGCCCTCCATCCCGATAGAGGGTCCCCCACCCCAAGTCAGAATCTCGGCCAGTGCTTCCCAAGGGGGCGCAGTCCTCGCCAAGCAGTGTCCCACCCCCGAGGCCCAGTGGAGCCAGCTCGGCAGGCCTGGGGTTTCCTCTCACGAGGTGGCCCAGGCTACTGTGGGATGAACCTGATTATGTGACCTGGAGCTTGCGACCACATCGGCCACTGACCTGGTTCGGCTTCCCTATCTCTCAGAAGAGACGGTTGGGCTAAGAGATTTCTAAACTTCCCTTTTGCTCTGAAATCCCATGTAGAATTTGTTGATCTTCAGGCAGGGACTGGACCCACCTTGACCGAGAGGCTTGTCGTGTGGGTTCCCTTTTCAGGAGGGTTGGGTAAGATGGGCTTGACTCTCCGGGCCTCCCACAGGGGGCCCTTGGGCTGACTTCCCTTGTGTTTAAAGATACGGCGAGGCTACAGGCAAAGCAAACACAAAACCTCTCCGCAGAGGAGTTTCAGGGAGACCGCCCGAGCTCCATGTGGAAAGCACGTGCATCGGCTCCTGGGTACAGGTCCCGCAACAGTGATAACGAGATTCCCCGGGGCAATTTGTATACCCACGAGCACTTCGCATTTGCCAGGAAGTGGAAGCACCAAGTGGCCTTGCCTGTGGATAAATGGACAAGCCAAATGCGGTCCCTCCGCTCAGGGGAATGTGTCACTGAGCCTCGGAACGGAAAGACGATCTGACTCGTGTAACATGGTGAACCTGGGGATGGTATCCTGTGTGAAATAAACCACTCACAAAAAGGACAAGCACTCTGCGACCCCAGAGAGGAGTAGCAAATTTTGTGGAAGCTGACATAGATTCGAGGCGAGAGGAGAGGAAGGAGAGGAAGAAAAGTTACTGGTTCCTAGGTGTGGAGTTTCAGTTTTACCAGCTGAGACCGCTCTGGGGATGGAGGTGGCAGTGGTTGCACAGCAGTGTCAATGGACTCGAGCATTACCAAACAGCACACTTTAGAACGGTTCACATGAGCAGGGCATGGTGGCATGCGCCTGGAGTCCCAGCTATTTGGGAGGCCGAGGCAGGAGAACTGCTTGAACCCAGGAGTTCAGCTCAGTGGCAGAGCACTGGCCTAATGTGTGTGTGGAGGCCCTGGGTTCCATCCCCAGCAAACCCAAAAGAGAAAAAAGAAAGAGCTAAAATGGTAAGTTTTATCACAGTAAGAGCACTTGAACGACTTCCTGTCTGTATCAGTCTTAGAGACCAGAGCGGCCTCCATGGGTCAGAATTCCTGGAAAGGAACAGATAGATACAAAGCCTCTCCCCAGACAGAGGGGGGAAAATGCTCTCCCACATCTTCGGGGTGTGGATGAGGGTCTCAGGGGGTCTCCCTATGCTGAGGTTGTTCTCCTGGGGCTGATCCGGGCTACCTGGACCCAGAACTTCTGATCGAGCCTCAGCCACCTAACCCTCCCCTCTGGCAGCCCCAGGAGCCTCTGGCTGAGCCCACCATCAAATCTAGGCACAGGTCTGTCATGTTCCCTAAGAACTCTCTGCAGGGAAAGGGGCACATTGATCCCCAAATCTGAGCACTAGGAAGAGTCAGCAGCACATCTCCTGGTTCACTTCAGCCACACTCAGAAGACAAGCGACTGGCCACTCTGCCTGGCTTGGAAACATTCTACCTGTCGCCTGCTGAGAAGCAGGCAGGTGGGCAGGTGCGGCTCAGCCGGCTTCTGAGAGCTTCAGAGGGGACAACTGCAGACTGTCACCTCGTCTGTCCCCACAGATTCTCCAAAGCTCCAGGCCCTTCCTCCAGAATGTCCGCCGCCTAATACCAACGGTGACCTCATAACGCCCCCCTCACAAACCCTATCGGGTGTCTCTCCCCTGATGCCCCTGGACTCAACTATTTTCTCCAGAAATAGGCAAAAAAAGAGAGAGGACAATCCCAGGTGAAAGAGACCCCAGACAGCAGCCCCCCAAACTTATGCGTGTGGACTGCCCGGTCGCGGGGAGAGCCGGGTGTGGGACTGACTTCGTGCTTGTGGGGAACATCTGTCCGCTCAGAATCGAGGCTGGCAAAAGTCTGATTCCTCCCCGGGCACAGAGCACCTAGACAGGCCTGTCCTTGCCACCTCTCCCCGGGACAGAGCTGCATTTTCCAGCCCACTTTCTTCTTCCTCTAAGTACAAAAGGAACAAGGCATCCGCCCTGAAAGGCTGGCAGTCGGACATGCAAATTTCAAGAGAAAGGCGCAGCCCCCCCCCCAGCACTCACCTGCAGAGCTGTCCCGCCAAGCCCCTGAGGGTCCCCGTGGGAACCTCCAAGCCTGTCCCGGCGACTGCTCTCCTCTCCGTCAACTTCTCGACTATCTGCACAGACAGATACTTCTCCTTTTCTGTCTCTGTGGGGTTTTTTTCCTCTTCTGTTCCCCTCCCTGATTTTCAATCTGATTATTTGTGTCAAAATCTGGCGGCGAAGCGGCAGCCAATGGAGACGGTGAGCGACCGGCCGCATTTGCTTATCAAAACTTTCCAGTACTGTGGTCGCCGCGTTCCTGGCCGTTCTGACCCTGGGCTCACAGACGAGGCTTCCTCCAGCAACTTCCAGTAACATCTGGAAGAAGGGAAAGCAGGAGGGGCTGCAGTATGACCTCTTAAAATTAAAGTGCATGGAGAAATCGTAACTTTGGTTAGTTTTCTTTTTCTTTCCTTTTTTCCTGCCTGTGTCCTTCCCACCTCTCTCCTTTTCCTCTTCCTCCTCCCTTCCTCTCCCTCCCCCTCTCTCTCCACTCCCTCTTCTCCTCTTTATTCTCCCCTCCCCTCCTCTCCTCTCCCTTCTTTTCCTCCTCTTCCTTCCCCGTTCCCTCCATCCCTCCCTATGTTTAGCACTTGGGCTCAGGGACACGGGGACACCCTGCTTGGCGAGCTGCTGCAGCCTGCTTAGCTAGCGAGTCCTCCTGTGCTCACACGGGGCACGACTGGGAAGGGACACACTCGCCCGTCCAGAGTGACGCGGTCTGGGGCCGTGTACAGATTGAGCGCCGGGTCCTGGGCCAGCGTGTGCCGCCACCTGGTGGCAGCAGAGGGGATGAGACTGCCCGTGGGGGCCGTGGGGTGTCCCGACCCCCGGGGGGAAATGCCGGTGGCCGATGGCATTTCACCGCGTTTGCCTGGGTGCCCTGTCCCTTGATCCTCCACCTTGGCCTCCCTGCTCTGCCCCGGCCCCCTCCCGTTTGGGGGGTGAGTGATTTATCTCAGGAGGTTTTGCATAAGCGGAGAAGCCCACAGGACAGCACTGTTAGCTGATTTGCATGCTCTCGGGCCCGGCGCTGGAGAGATTACACTTCCCGCACGGAGCGAGCCAGCCTGACGACAGGAAGCCCCGATTTGAACTGCAAGTCCAAGGTTCGAGGTGCAGCGAAAGGGGTGTTTCTGGCGACGCCTGTCTGCGGCTGGCCCAGCCCTGGAGCCGCAGCTGGGGGCCACGACAGACATCTGGGGGTGACAGGGTGCTGCGGGGCCGGGGAGGCGTCCTGAGAGGTCCCAGCAGTGAACCTGGACTGATGCGTATGCTTAGTAAAGTTCACAGAGAATAATAAGGTCCGTTTCCAAACGCTCCCTAACGAGGCAGGTCCTCCTCTCCCAGCTCCTTTACAGCCGCAGCCACGCCTGGCCGTGGGAAACCAGCGTGTCGTTTTCTGCTGAGACTTATTTTATTTAAGCAGCTTCAAAATTCCTTGCAGCCTTCACTGTTTGTGCTTTTTCTAGCTTTACCGGGTGCCTTCTCCTTTGGGGGTGCGTGTTTCCTTAGGGTGTTCTCTGATATAAAACTACCGTGTCGGGAGCCTCCAGTTCACCTGCAGCTCCGACTCCGTGCTCACGCTGTGGGGTAACCGACTCAAGGGCCCTTCCCGGACCAAGGTCCTGGCCTGGGGGTGAGGGCCAGCCTTACCTAGCGACCCCCAGATCCGCTCTCTGGGGGACCAGTGGCCCCTGGAAAGCCCTGCTCGGCACCCCGCAGGCCCAAGCAGCCCTGGGGCTCCCCAGCAGAGCCAGAGCCAAGGCCAGGGCCCTCCGTGGGCACCCCTGGTGTCAGCGCCCTCGGTTAGCCCCCATTCATTCTTCAGTCAGTCCTGGGTGCCCTGCATGTACCTGGCCTGCCCTCCTGCCTCCTCCTTCCTCATCTAATGCGTGTTTAGCAAGCACCTGCAGGGGCCAGATCCTGGGGTTCTGACTCCGTCCATAACAAAATACCACAGCCTAGGTAATTCGTAGACGCCAGAAATGTATTTCTTACAGTCTGAGGCTAGCTGTCCAAGAGGAAGGTGCTGATCGAGTCTTGCTCTGCTTCGGCATCGCGTCTCTCGCTGCGCCCCCGTGCGGCGGAAGGGGACAGCGCTGTGTCCGACGCTGAGAAGAGAGAAAGCCAACCGCTGCCATCTGCCTCCATCGAGCCCTGTAGGAGCGCGCAGTTCATCCCCACGGCCTCTCCGCTTCCCCAAGTTGCCATCTCTCCACGCAGCAGCGCTGGGTCTTGGGTCCAACACAAATTTTGGAAGGAGGTTCTCAAACAAGAGCCAGACGGAAGCCCTCATGGGCTCCTTCCCGGTCTGGGAAGAGGACGGGGCCCCCTGAGATGAACGCTTTGGGGTGAGGGCCCCGCGGTGCACCGTCTGGTGTGTACTGGGAGCCCGGGGCTGGGCAGAGGGACCCGACTGGGGGATCCGTGAAGGAAGGACGACCACGCCGACTCCCAGGCTGAGTCGGTGGGGACGGAGGCAGGGAAGAGGGACTGGAAGGAGGGAGCACGTGGCCGAGAGCAGGGGCCAGGACCTGAGGGGATTCAGCAGCCAAATTCAATGTGGGCAGAGCGCAGAGACAGAAGGGTCAAGGCCTTCCAGAGGTGGAGCCTAGAGAGGCGAGAGGGGGACTGATCAGGAAAATCCTCCATGGCTGAAAAACCCTCTGATTCCCTTTCCCTGCAGGACGAAAACCTCAGCTTCAGCTAGCAGCACTCAATGTTTCTCTTTTCTTTCCTCTTCTTATTTTGATGGTGGGGTTGAACCCAGGGCCTTCACACTGGGCTACACCCCCGGCCTTTTTTTATTTTTTGGTTTTGAGACGGGGTTTGATTAAAGTCACTAAGTTAGTCGCCTAGGCTGGGCTCGGGGAACTTTCAATTCCCCCACCCCAGCCTCCCACAGTGCTGGGATTACAGGTGTGGGCCACCACGCCCAGCTTGTACTTAGTGCTATTCACAATGTCAGCACTCTCTCAAATGACAGCACTTCTTCAGATGCAACTTGCAGAGACCCAATTTAAACTCATGTAATAACAACAACAAAACATTTCTTTCATGTCTCTGAAAATTTTCAGCTTCAGGTATGGCTGGATCCAGGTGCTTAAATGACATTGTCTGGAATCTTGTTCCTACTCAGCACATTTGCATTTGCTGTCCACTCTGCCTGAATAGTTTAACTCCTAGGTCTCCCCATAACTGGTTCCTTCTTGTTACTCACGTCTCAGCTGAAATATCACCTCTGCAAAGCCACCTCCTTGACCATCAGTGGCTTCAGGAAGAGCCCCAGGAATGACTTTGATTGGCCTCGCCTGGTAATGAGCACATCCTAGCACCAATCACTGAGTCCGGGGGGCGGGATATGGCCCTCTGCCTGGGGCTGGCCACTTCTGGCCACGATTACAGACAGGCTCAATGACACGAGCAGCTTCTCCAGGGCAAGAACGCTCTGGGGCAGCAGGAATGGCTGGGCTCCGTAAACGCTGGCCTGGGGAAACAAAGTCAGGCCTGGCTGAGTGGGAAGCCCCGTGAGTGTACCAGTCTCCGTGGAGACAGCTCAGGAGGCTGTGGGGGGAGACCCAGGAGTGAGCCAGCTCTGGGCCCAGCTGCGCCTGGCATGTGCTGTGTGACCTCGGACACCTTGGTGACCTTGGGTACCTTCCGGCCGAGGTTCAGGAGGCCACGGAATGCAACGACCACGCGCCCACGAGAGGGGCCGGGGGGGCCTTGCCCCTTGCTGGGCCTCTCCTCTGCGGGCACCTTGGCGTGGTAAAGAAGCCCCTGACTCTGCCCCAGTGGACCAGGGCTCGGGACAGAGACACAGAAAAGTCCCGGGTGGGTGGAGGGGAGGACTCTGTCCAGCCCCGGCTACTTGTCGGGGGACCCAGGTGGCTGAGTGCCGGGGAGCCCCTCGCACCCGCGGGCTGGGGTCTGGGGTCCCCCAGCCTCTCGGCCTTGGGCACTCAGGGCTCCACCGCGCGGCTCTCCTCGAGCCGCACTTCGCCATGTGGCCACGCGGGGGCGCTGCTGTCCCCGCCTTTTCCACTAACAAAAACCGATCTGAAAACAGTAAATAAACCTCATCTACATTAGGTGCTGGTTAGATCTCAAGGGTAATGTATGAGCAGTGATGTAAGAGTGGAAATAAGAAAATAAAAGGATGTGCACACGCTCCTGGCCCCTCCCACCGTCAGCGCGTGCCATGTGCATAGCTTTAGTTTCTCTGTCTCTCCCTCCCTTTCCTTCAGTCTCCACCTGTCTTCACCTCTCCACTTTCTCTTCCCCGCTTTTCTTCCCCTCTCTCCACCTCTCTCCCGCTCACGTTTGTATAACGTTTTCCAGCTCAAGTTAATGTCCACGATCTTTAGCTTGTGTCCCAGTCAGATGAGGGTCCCTCCCTCACACCCGGGCTTGCAAGCACAGCCCTTCTGTCCTCCGCCCAGAGCAACCCCCCATGAGCCGGCAACACTGGAAACGAGGACCTGAGCGAGGTTCTGGGGTGTATCCACTTCACGGGTGGCCAGCTCCTCAGAGGAGCCTGTAGCAGAGAGGGCCTCCGGGCAGTTGGACGGGGACCAGGGCAGAAGCAGGGAGAGCCATGTCACACAGCCAGTTCCAGCCCTCAATGCCTCCCAGCAGCCCTGGCGCACTCGGACCCCTTTCTAGCTTTAGAAAAGAAGATCAGAGTCCGTCAGTTCCTTCTGCCCCATGGTAGCTTCTGACCTGGAATCTTCTTCAGAAACTCTTCGAGGATTTTCCCTCATGAAAATGAAGCCTTCTAGCCAGGCATCGTGGTACTGTACAGGCCAGTAATCCCAGCGCTCTGGGAGGCTGAGGCAGGAGGATGGCAAGGTAGAGCCCAGCCTGGGCAATTTAGTAACTCAATGAGATCTTCTCCCAAAATAAAAAAGGTCTAGGGATGCAGCTCTGTGTGGAGGCCCTGGGTTCAATCCCCAGTACTGAAAAAACAAAAATCCAAGTGAAATGAAGCCCTCCAGCTGCAGCCAAAGGCTGGCTCTACTGCTTGGTGCTCCTGGCAGGAAGACTGGAGCATGGATTTTCAAAGGGTGGAGGAGCAATGGGCCTTCTATCCCTTGGTGGCCAGGGTCACACCTGCCAGACCCAGCGGGACATTCTGTGCCTGGGGGCATTGACTCCTTAAGACCCAGGGGTGTTCAGAGCCCCTGGGCCATCATCCTGGGAGAAGGGGCCACCTGGGGTGCGTGTGTCACAGCTTGAGTGGACGGAACAGGGAAACAAGGCCTCCTACAGCAGAGGCCAGGGAGGGCCAAGGGGCAGGGAGCCACCTGAAGCTTCTGAAGGGGAAACTGAGGCCCCCTTAGAGAGAGACTTGCAGTTACCTAGCAACTATGACACAGGCAGTACTGAGGCCCTGGCTTCCTAACTCCCACCTGGGGATGGAACATGGGGCCTTCCTGCTGGACT